CTAGCTTTCTGGCGATTCTGCGTTGAAACTCTACTTCGTTCATAATATTGAGATAGTACACCATCTCCAAATTTTCCTAGAAGTGCTTTTAGGTTTAATGGGTAGCCTCTGTAATACTCAGTAGTGGTTTCAGTAGTCATTTGCGTTGACGATGTGTTTGCTGTGCTTATTGGCAAACCAACGTCACTTGTTGTAAACAAAGTAATGCTGTTTATATTTGCAGAGCTTGTTGACGATAAGGTCGAAGGTGTAGTATTGCTTGGAATATTATTCGAAGGAGCCCGTGTATGAACAAATTGAACATTACCTTCCCTATCTGGATTTCGAATATCAAAATCCACTTCATTCAGTTCATTGTCTTTACGAGGTTCTCCTTGGTCAGTGCCTCCAGTAGCTGCAGTGCCTTGTACTTCGCTTTCCACTTCAATTGGCGCCATATTTAATAATTGTTCTGACTCCTTCTCAACGTTTGTATCGCACGATGTCGATGACGATGTTCTTGCATTTTCGTTCTTCGTGAAGAAATCCGATACCTTTTTGCATTTACTCGCTTCTTGTTTTAACAGTTTTTCAATATTCGCTTTTCTTTTATTTGCATACGGCATTTTTAATACTAATAGTACAAACAAAGGCAAGCAATTTGCATGTAAATTTTGATGTAAATTATGTTTTTGAAATTCCCAACTAAGCTTCCCGAATATCCCGAGATTTCCCCCAAAATCCCAACGTTCCCACTTTCGTTCCCAGTCCCACTTTGAAAAATATTTTTTTGCAGATCGAAATTTCCTATTTGACTATTTTTCTATTTTTCATTGTCCAGAAAGGGAAGGCAAAGGAATAGCAGAGATTCTGCGAAAGGAATACTGGAATAAGGATTAATTATGTTGTCCAATATTGACTTTGGGAGTTATTTTCACACCAAAAAATATGAAAAGGGACTTTCTACTGGGGGGGACAAAATTGCCGACTGGGGGGCAGTAAGGGGGGCTGGGGGGGCCATGTCCCCCCCAGTCTTTATGTTAAAAGAGGCCCTGTCAAATCTTATTCAAAATGCGAACAAAGCAATGGAAGAATATACCGTACAAAATAAAACAATCTTCAATATGAACATTGAACAACAATCATAAACGAGATATATGTCCAATCTTAAACGAGATATATAAAATAAACAGATATATAAAATAATCAGGGACGTCGCACTGGTGTGTGTGTGGGCGTGTAAGCCCCCCCCCAATAATTTTAAGTTTAAAAAGTCGGTCAAAATGGGAAATATTTGGTCAAAATAGTTGGTCATTGTGGTTTTTCAAACTGGTTTACATTGTCAACTAACCATAGTAGTACTCAAAAGTGCAAAGAAAAACGTACTTGCGAACTTTTCACCTTGTAAAAAACATGGCCACTTCTTAAAGTGCCTATGACACGAAATTTCACCCCAAATGTTTATGATTGCATTGTAAAGAACACTTAAAATGACTTAATAATTTATTTTATAGAATTTTGGTAACTTGCTTCCTTTGCAAGATATTCAACTTTGTTTCATATGCAAATATCACCGGTGTGACATCACATCGCATAATGACATTTTGAAAACGTAATATTTTACCTTGATAAAATATTTTTACAAACAAATACAGAGGGTTAATTACCAGTTATGAAATTAATACATATACAAGGGCAATTTTTAAGTTTTGTAGATACGTATTCGTCAAGAAAACTATACTTTTCTGAAAATTCATTATGTGATGTGATGTCACACCGGTGATATTTGCATATGAAACAAAGTTGAATATCTTGAAAAGGGAGCTAGTTACCAAAATTCTATAAAAGAAATTATTAAGTCATTTTAAGTGATCTTTACAATGCAACCATAAACCTTTGGGGTGAAATTTCGTGTCATAGGCACTTTAAGCATTCAGTTTTCCAACACGAATTTGTTGAAGTCAGACCTTTGAAAGGTTGGTCAAAATGTTCGCCAAAACTTGGTCAAAATATCAGGACACCCCGCTAACAATGTTAATCACTTCGCGACGTCCCTGTCGAAAATTAAGGCAAAATATTCCCCCAGGCTGCAGAATCCCACCTTTTCTTGGTCTGAGAACGCTTACTGTACTTGTGTTCTATATATTGTTTGTGAAATTTATATGCTGTATAATATATAAAAATATGTCCAAAATTGATCCTCATGATTCAATTTGTACATGAACAAATAATGAAGCTGGGAAAAGTGACTTGGTTCCACGGCCATTTAATGCGATTTGACGATAACCTTGAAATAAAATAAAATGGAAGTCCAGATAAAAAATTACGAGAAAGTTGGGAGAAGCGTGCAGGCGTGCGTGTAGGTCGTGCAGTATAAACCGGAAACGGCAAACTACAAATTGTATTTTGAGGTCAACTGTTAGGACTAGCGCTAGCCTCCTCCGCAGGCAACTCTTATTCCCCACTCCCAAATATATACCGACCTTTCAACCAGAAGAGACAATATTTTGTCGAATTTGGAATTTGTATGACTACATCAGGAAACATAAGGGAACATTGCGATACAAGTGTTGTTTTATGGGGGTGGTTAAAGCGGGCGGGCGTGCGGGCTGAAAGAGAGGAGAAAAGGTAAGAAACTCCCTTCGTCTCTTTTGCTCTCCGCCCCCAAATTCACTAGTTACCAAGCCCTTACTGTTTCTTTCTGCTCTGCCAAACTTTCGATATGGATTGATAGCGTGATTGCGTGAATAAATTCAATTCTCTTCTGGTTGAAAGGTCGGTATATATTTGGGAGTGGGAAACAAGAGTTGCCTGTGGAGGAGGCTAGTTAGGACTAATAGCTGTTCAAAGTTAGGACAAATGTGCATCAAAGTTGAAGCATGAATTACAGCTACTATTTAATTTTCAGCTTGTAACGTATCTATTATTTTTTGTCAAAAACGTTTTTGGAGTTGATATTTCAAATCCGACTATGAGAGACTGGACTAGATTTCAAGTCCGCATGTATTAATGAGTTTCACATCGAATGTTCGTGACATAAGGCATTAGGTATGGTGGGCATAAAATATGGATTTACTGAATATATTAATTTTTATTTGTCGATCAACCTACAGTAAACTAGAAAACTGGTAATCTACTACATGCATACCTTGTTTCATACTGGTAAATGGTAACGAAAATTGAGCAATGAAATCATCTTTCCCAACGTCCTGATCATACACGGCAAATCTCACCAATGCCATCTCTGGGTTTATCACTCGAAATTGAAATGTTTCGTTCCAATATGGATCAAATCCTAATGAATAATTGAATAAAATAAAGGATTACTGATTACATGAAATGAATTCACGAGATCTCCAGATTTGTCTCTGTAACGACATGGAGATATCACTTCAGGGTAACATCCCTTAATTTGTTTTACGAATTTTCATTTTCTTTGGTCTTGACCCCAATCACAACCCTATCCCTGAAATCACGAAGATGTTACCGATTTTAACTAGTCTGCGTGCAGTCGCTTGTATTTATGCGTATCAATTGTTTCAAATTATACGATAGAACGTAGCTTACCGTTGTTGTTTATAACTTTAGTTTGAAAAAGTTGTTTTTCTTCAAGGACATCATGGACTGCAACCGTGACGTAAGGATCTACAATCTAAAGATATATTATATGGAAGTCAAAAAATGGCCCAATTTCGATCTTAATAACCTCAATTTTTATTCCAATTCTTTATTGCAGTTCTAATCAATTTTTACCTCAATCTTTATCCCAAAGACAATCTTTATGCCAATACTAATCCTTACTTTGATCCTAATCCTAAAACTTTTTTGTCCAAGCCTATTCCTTATAGCGTCATTTTGGGATAATAATATGGAAAGTCGTGTATTGCCGAATTGTTCAGACACTGATCTTTATATGAGCAGCCGATCTGTATATATCAGATACAGATCGGATGCGAATGTTTTATCATAATTAAAAAATGACCCATCTTATGAGTTCATTGGCAAAGTAATTTTAAAAATAAACATTGTCTAAGCCGAGAAAATCAAAGCTGAAGTTTATGTGAATCAGGACAAATCTTTATCCGATTTACAAACATTGATTAAACATTCATTTCTTTTGTATTTTCCTCGTGAATTATTAATGAATTTTTTAAATAAATATAGAAATTATATTTGAAAGACTTAATTTTAAATCGAGCCTGAACAAAGTACCCTATATAATAATGCAAACACTGAGATTACATTACATATAACTTCCAAACTAAATGTACCTCGCCCCTAGATCCACCACTAACTTTAGGTAACTGCTGACCACTTATGACCTGAAATCAAAAATAAAATGCCTTCTTAAAATGACTGCGTAGGTTTCATAACGAAGGGACTATGAAAATGAGGATTTTTCTCATCGGAGCATAGTATTGCAAACATTTTCATAACATTTACCATTAATTAGCCATAACAGTGACTGTTATATAGAACGTTTGTGTTCTTATTTCGCTAAAAAGAGCCTGGGGGCTAAATATATGGAGGGAATATGGTATTATGCTAAGTTAACAGGTTCGTTACAGGACCTTTTCAGAGGTATTATAATATATTCAAAGCAAGGGCAATTCCATAGTCAATTAACCAATGAAACGTTGCAGGCAGTTTTACAGTTGAAAGCTACGGATTGATAGGGATACAACTCCCTGAAAAATATTCGTCGGGAATTTAGGGTTATCGTCGCTACCTGCACTGGCAAGACCGTTCGAGTTTTACAGTTGAACTGTATGTAATTAGCTAGGGCTTTTCAGGAATAATAGTGTAGAAGTCGAGAAGTGACAACTGAAGACTTCTTTTGAATGAAAAATCAGGATTTTGAGAGAAAAAAGTCTTCTGGACGTACAGCTCATACGTATCATGATCGTGAATAGAAATTTCATACAGAGCCAGACATTAGTATATTAAAGCTGTATATAATTGAAATACCTGCACTGTTAATTTCTGACCTTTGGCTATCTTCGGTGAATCTGAAAAGCGAACCCAAAAAGGCTACCTTAGAACATCTTTTCTAAGTTATACCATAAAACAGGATTGTTTAGATAGTGTAGTCATACTAACCTAATCTCATATATTCTGGTTTCAAAATATAACCTGA